AACATGGAAAGTCAAGACGCCCCAAAGACGTGAACGCAATCTAAATAGGCCGGGAAGGACTCTAAGAATAAGTGCTTCTGTAACTGATTTGTTAAAATTGTAGAAAAGCCGTTAGTCTGATTGAAACGTGGGCTTTGATTCGGCCAACTAAATTAATCCGGCCCACCTGAATTGACATTTTAATTTTTCCAAAGTCAGCTCCATTTTTTGATTTTTTATTTTTTTTAATGCCGTCATATGAGTTCTTAATACACATATACACAATACCAATTATGTGGTCACTTTTTAAAGTTTTGTTATGGAAGCTGTAAAATAGAGGAACACAAAAGCCAACTTTAGGGGTCACCCAATAGAGGTGAAAGGTGATGAAGTAACACCAGAGGTGTCCCAAAGGCCAACTGTGTGTCTATATATATATATATATATATATATAATATGTATATATACATATACTAGGGTTTAGGGTACTTTAAAAAGAATTGAACTCTCAATTTTTTATTTTAAAAGATAAAGAAGTACTAGGCTACACAACTCTTGATAATATCATATTATATAATGAATATACTCAATCAATATAAAGTCAAGAGTTTGTTTGATATGTGCCTACTGATAAATTTGAATTTGGTAAGGCACAACAATGATACCAAAATGAATTCCGAGGGGATGAAATTGTTGGTTTATAACCACATAATTATAAGGTAGAGGTATTCGAATTTGATTCTCCTCCCAGTTCAGGCTAGGGCTTGAAATCAATGAAATGGAGCGGATCTCAAATGGGTTCATGTAATCGGATTTATATTTTAATGTCACGATTCATATCCAAATCTAAATTTGTATCCAATCAATTCTAACCCATATAGTTTAAACTTGATTCAAATAGGAGTAAAACATATTTGCATATCTCGGGGTAAAATTTGATCCATTTAAAAAAATCAAAATTCATGTTCAACTTGAATGCTCGATGCATGGATTTTTCAAAGAAAGTTTATATCTGATTTGTTATTAAATTTTGATTCAAAATTTAAATCCAAGGCAATTAAAATGGACTTCAAATCAAATTGCATCTTAGATCAAACCCACTTCTTTTAAGGCCCTACTAATAACACCTTTCTAATTACCAAAACAAATGGGAAAAAAACATTGAGACCAAAGTTTGGTTTGGAGTCCTTCCCCTTTTCAAAGGAAAGGTAAAGCTTCAAATTTCGGTGGAGTATTTTACCTTTAAAAAAAAAAAAAAAAAAAAAATCTTAATAGAGGATCCGAAGCATTTATGCACTCATTCTGTTTTTAATCACCATATCAAATAGATAATTTTTTTTTTTACCACCAATACACTATAATTTAGTAATATTTTCTCAGATTTGATAAGTGTAGAAGTTTATTGCCATGGTATTAAAAAAACAAAAAAAATTAAAGAAAAATTTATAGCTAATACGGAAATTTCTGGTGACTAACATATAATATACCACATGCTGTATATACACCACAATTTTATGGTTCATCCCCTTTTCATCATTTTCCATTATTCCATTTGAGCTTGGAATTAATTTTCTCAAGCCTAACTTTCGTTTAGTAGAAAAATATATGCAACAATTGATAAGGACTACCATTAACCAACAAAAATCACAAATATAGCTAGCTGGATCTCTAGGGTTTTGTCTATAAATACCTTGCCATGCATCCTTACATTGTTCTCATTAAGAACTAAATATTCTTGTCATCTCTCTATCACACATAGATCCTACCTTGCATTCTATGGAGTCATCAAAGATTTGGTTTGTCTTACTTGTATTGATGGCCACAACCATCACTCTCTTTGCAACACCAACTAGTGAACTAGAATCACTTGTCCATGTTAAGGGAGATGATGCTTCTTCTCTGAGAGGAACTGCTCGCTTTCTTGCCAGCCAGGGTCCCCGTGCCACCACCATGACATGCGACAAGTACCCTAGAGTTTGTGCAGCCAAGGGCAGTCCCGGCCCGGACTGCTGCAACAAGCAATGCGTTAATGTGATGAGTGATGAGTGATGAGCTTAACTGCGGGAAGTGTGGGAAGAAGTGCAAGTACTCGGAGTTATGTTGCCAAGGCCAATGTGTGAATCCATCTGTGGATGAGAAGAATTGTGGGAAGTGCAACAAGAAGTGCAAGAAAGGAAGCTCATGCGTGTACGGGATGTGCAGCTACGCTTAGAGTATAGAAATGCTTGTTACATCTTCTAGCATTCACGTTACATATACATAAATCTATCTATTTTATGTATGTATATTTACGTGTCCATCTCTTTGTAATTTTAGTAAAATTATGTGAAATAATAAAAGCGAGTTGTGTTCACTATTAATACGTGAAATAATAAAAGCAAGTCATCCACGAGTTGTGTTTGATCACCATTATTATCATGCTACCATATTGGTGGTAATTAGGAGGATCCGTTCAGAATTTATAAATTTGCTTTATATTTCAGATTAATTATTTAGATGTAATTCTTTTTTCCTTTTTTGAAAATTATTTATTTTTTTCAATAAATAAAATTAACTACTCAAATTCGAATTAAGTGTAACAAGTTCAATAGATTATTACATGTATGAGTGTGTACCGGTATCAACTCATTCAATTACAAAACAAGACAACTTGGGCAGAGAAATGGGTGAAGGATCACCCTGAGAAACGGTATGTCTTGGGACTATTTTCAGGTACATGATCTTCTGCGTAAGCAAAATTATGGTGATCGATTTGATCGCTTGATGCACCGTGCAACAGCTGAGATTTTTAATACCTTATTATTAAGGGCTTCCACCTCGTAATTACATTCCTCATTAGACAAACTGAGCTCTTTTGCAAACTATAGGAAGGTAATCTGAAGATAAGTTGTTTAATCTTTTATGGATTTTTCTTTTTTTTTTTTTTTTTTTTTTTTTTTTTTTTTTTTTTTTTTTTCCTTCCTAATTCTTTTTAGAAATGATCGAGGAGGTTCTTGAGAGAAAATGACCACCTTTACTAATGAAGATTCTAGTGGGAGAAAATAACAGTACCATATCGCACTTCTCCCACCTGTTTAACGTAAAATTCATTAATACCCTACACATATATACAAAATATTAAAAAGCCTAAAAAAAAAAAATCCTCCGTGATATTCTATATTTTTCTATTCCAATCTTATTCACATGACCCATCATAAATATACTCTACAAAACTCTATACAATTAACATAATTACAGAATTATCTAGAATGTCGATGCTATACAAAATTCTATATATACAATGAAAATAATTACAAAATTTTCTAGAATGTCGATGCCATATGATCATTCTGTGAATCAAAGTTAGACAAGGGTAACAATTCGCTAGCTACTCAATCCACGTGACAATAACCCAACACTTTTAATTTTTTTATTATTTATTTTAAAGTAAATATTTGTTATCCTAAATCCTACTTTTCCTAAGTTATAAGTATTTCTTGACATAAAAAAAGTACAACAATTTTTATTGTTTTAGTGCTTCGGCCCATTTGAAACCTATGTGTCAACCATGCAAAGCAAGTTCAATAGTTTAATTAATAAATAGAAGTCAAAACATAAGAATATATGAGCGTTCCCCAAAATGAGAAATATATTATTGATTAATACAATCTTTATAATCAATAATATAATACTATTTTCGTTCCATATTAATTATTCACTTTACAAATTTTGACTCATGATTTTTGTGAGTCAAAGTTAGGGAAGTATATATCTAATATGAGATATAGGTAGTTTATAAGTATATAAAAGAATTATGACTAAAAATGACCTCAAATAACTTAAAAATAAAAAATGACAGTGAGTCAGTTTTTAAAATAGACAACCAATATGAAACGGAAATAGTACAAAAATATGTTATGGACTTAATCTGGTCAGACTCGTCGTCTAATTAAAAGACCATTTTTTAATTTTTTGTTGCAAGAACTTGTACATACAACAGGCTGATATGAGGTAACATCGGAGCTAAACTTAGACTGTTGGTGACATAGAGAAAAAACTTTACCTCTATCATCACACCAGATTTGCAATCCTACAAGTAGTCAATTTCATATTTTCATATATTCTCTTGATGATGTAGTACTAATTAAGGAATAAACATGTAAATATGTATTTTTCACACTTGGATTTGAAATCCATTAATGATGAGTGATAGAAGTGTTAAATAAATACTACCAGCAACTCACATATATTTTGAAGAACAATACTTGCTTAAGTGACAGATCTAGAAAAATGTTGACAAACTTATATGGTGGGATTTTTTAAAAAATTTTAGTAGGAGTAATTTTAAAAATTTATGGATATATATAATATATGAAAAAAAATTCTGGGACATATACTCCTTCTTTCCCTTATCACAAATGTAACACAATTATAAAATAATAGGTGTTCATTTTGAATTCAAAATATATAAGAGAGATGAAAAAGTAAGAATTTTTTTTAATACATAATTTAAATTTAAAATAAACACGATTAATTTTATTATTACATTTGTGATACAATATTAGTAGTAAGGAGAATTCTACTCCCCCAATGACTAAGTATTAATCTGTTTCGAAACTGTTATTCTTTAATTTCTTTAACTAAATAAATAAAAGAAAAATATCATTTGACTTGTCCACCAATAAACATTCTAATTAGTTATTGATAGCTCAAGGGAAACGATTGTTTAGATTAGATTAATTAGAGAAATCAAACAAGAGCAGTCCATGTACGGATGTAGAGGTAGAGGTCCACCTACCAACCTATACATATAAGTATTTTAAGGTTTGAATGCTAAATTGTTCCTTAATTTGGCATATACAATATTTCTTTGTAAGCCTAACTTTTACTTGAATTATATGTCAAACCGTAGAATAAGACCACTCCACTAACAATGAACAACGTACTATAAAATCCTGTATAACCTTTTACTAGACTCCCTATAAATTCCCTCATTATCAACCTCATTCTCCACACAAATCATTCTTCATTTATCAACAACAATGAAGTGCCTAATGGTTTTCTTGATGTTGGTAATGCTGATGGCTTTGGCTACAGCTCTTTTAGCAACACCTACAGAAGAAGAGGTGTTTATTGATGGTGATGATGAAGATGCTCAAACTGATAATTTTGATGCATCTCTCCTTGAAAGCGAAGAAGTACTGCCAGCATCTCTGCGAGGGACTGGACGTTTTCTTGCCCAAACACCGCGTGTGACAATGACATGCAACAAGTACCCTAGAGTATGTCGCGCCAAGGGCAGTCCGGGGCCAGATTGCTGCAAAAAGAAATGTGTGAATGTGAAGACAGACAGACTCAACTGCGGCATGTGTGGGAAGAAATGCAAGTACTCGGAGATATGTTGCAAAGGTGCGTGTGTGAACCCATTGTCCAACAAGAAGCACTGTGGAGGGTGCAACATTAAGTGCAAGAAAGGGAGCTCATGTGTATATGGAATGTGCAGCTATGCCTAGAAATGATATATACAGTTAGAATTGTTTTGTTAGAGCTATAGGGAGTACGTCCATTAATTTTCATGTCAATGTCTGTAACTACTAAAGGAAAACCATCACAGCAATTTGATGGGCCTTGCTGATGATTTATTATTCTTTTGATTAGTTTATGTAGTCGCAGTCATAATCGCTTTGTTCTTTTAGTTGAATTTTCATATTCCTCATTATTGATTAAAGAGAAATGTTTGTGTTACTGGAACAGTAGTATTCAATACTATATTTTGACTTTTTCTTTTAGAAATAATGTTTACCTAATGATATAATATAATATAATATTTGATGCATTGGCATGACCTGTCCATGTTAAGGAATGATGCTTTCATTTTGTTGACGGAAATACCATTAGTTGGATATTCTGAGGCATCACAAATAGAACAAATGCAATATGAATACATAATGGTCGTACAAATCCAAAAAATTGACACATGATAAGTTAAAGAGTTCATTAATTACCTACCCACAGAAAGAAAATAAGTGTAATATATCCATATTAGGAGGTGAGTATAATTTATTAAATATTTAATATGAGTTGGTGGTTATTTTTGATATGTTATTGTGACAAAATTGAAACGAATTTTTATTGAAAAATAATTTAAAGAGTATGAACAATTTTTCAGAATGATTCGTTTATTATGTTATTATTGATGAAGTATCTTGCATATTATTTTAATTTAGATAGTATTGAAATGGAAAAAATTTTCATTTGTGCCAATTTAGTTACTGATATACTATTTAACGCGTAAAAAATAATGGGTACGCAAAAAATAAAAAACTTTTGCATACTAGTCAATTGTTATCATATTTGAAAATTTTGAAGAAAAAAAATAATATTCACTCCCTTTGCACAAGACATGCCTATTTATACAAGAGTCACCCAAAAAAAAAAAAAATAAATAAATAAAAATTATTAAAATATCTATCGTAGTTGTTAGAATACTCTAGAAAAATATAATAGCTTTACTTACCGATATATATATATATATATACACAATACCTACGGTAATTGCAACTTCTAGATAACCACATGTGATAAGCGAGTTCAGTTGGAATATTGTAAACACCAAACAATTAAAACTTTTAAAAGACAGACATAAGACAAAAACCAAATTCAAACTAAGCTCTTTACTTGGCCAAAATATCGATAAATAAAATGATAAAAATAACCCTATCCCATTCTCTTTTTTTCTCTCTTTATGATCAAGGACTCTCAACTCACTCTCTCTTTCATCTCTTGTTGCAATTTTTTTTTTGTTTTTTTTCATTTTTCCTTATTTAATTCTCACACCTCTCTCTCCCTGCTAACTTCCCTCTTCTGCTAGCCAATAGGTCTTCTCTTTTTCTCTCTTTTTTAGGATCAAGGACTCCTAACTCAATCTCTCTTCCATTTCTTCTTGGACTTTTTTTTTTTCTTTCCATTTTTCCTTATTTCTCACACCTCTCTCACCCTGCTAACTTCCTTCTTCTGCTAGCATCTATAGATCGACCTCAAATCATCAAAACGCTTTTTTCAATTTTCTCTTCTATGATCAAGGACTCTCAATTCACTCTCCCTTCCATCTCTCCTTAATTGGACTTTTTTTTTTTTTTTTTTTTCATCTATCTCTAACCTGCTAACTTCCCTCTTCTGCTAGCTTCTAGATCGGCCTCAAATCATCGATCAAAACGCAATATCTTAGATTATGCTCTGCTACGTGAGTGAACAAGTGATTAAGAGAGCACGCACACTCATGCCTTTACTATGACTTGAACATCTGATCTGGTAGGCATGCAAATTTGGCACATTTCTCCACTTTGGCTTCAAAGTTCTCATTTAAATTAATATTTGCTACTACCACCAAGATCCACACCAACAGTCCCCGTGTTGAGTCAAATTAAGCCGAACCCGTAAAGCACAAGGAAGTTGATTGGCGGGATTCCCTTAGGGTTGCACCGCCGACTGACCTTGATCTTCTAAGAAAAGTTTGAGTGTGAGCATGCATGTCTCGTGGTTAAGTATGGTGAGTCTCTTGTTATAATGGAGCTCTCTTGTGCCAATTTTCAAATCTTTTTATTAGTAGAGAATTGTACAAAGGTAAATGAAGTGTTAAGGGGGTGTTGGAGAGGGTGAGAGCCTCGTCATGCCCGAACCGTGTCCTTTGTTGGGTTTGTGGAACAAATTCGGCATGCGAGTAGCATTATTACAAAAGTTATCATGTTCAAGTTGTTTGGAACTAAATCAATTTTTTTTTAAATCCGTTGGACATGATTGTAACCCCAATTGAACCAGAAAAGTTGAACCAGTTGGACGTGGAAACCAAAAGACTGCTATTTTAAAGTTGAAGACTGATATGATAAATCATTGTAGGCAAGTTGAGGAATATTTGTCTAACAAGGAATTAGGTTTGAACACTCTATAGAGATGGGCGGGGAGAGAGAAGAAAAAATGTAAAGGATTTAATGACGAGTGTTGTGAGGAGAAGAGAGAGTATATGTAATTTTTGAGTGTATAAATATAACTTTAAATTTTTGTTACTTATCAAAGGAATGTCAGGAGACTGTGTGTGTGAGTACCAACTAAAAAAAAAAAACAAAAGTAAGGGACTCCACCTATAGATCAAGTCTTCTTTCGATTTGATTAACATTATTAAATAGTATTTAACAATAATAACATAAGAAAGATATTTACCATAAGTTAAAGTAAATGGAGAAATGCTTCACGTCCCGCGGTCGCCGCAAAATTCTATAATTGCCCAATTTTTCTTGCTTTAGTGCTTCGACTGCCCAATTGAGGGTCAACCATGCACAGCAAGTCCAATGCTTTATCAAAATATAAAAGTCAAACCATAAGAATATATTGAATATCCAAGTTCCCAAAATGAGAAACATATTACTCCAATACTTGACGTGTTTCTGCAACTTGGAACAATATTGATTACTGACTTTTTCTAGTCACCAAATTAAAAACAAGTTTTTATTTTTTTTTTATGCAAGGACCTGTACCTACAAGTACAACTGGGTAAACGAGGCATACTATATGAGCTAGATTGTTGGCGATATACAGAAAAAACAATACCTGCCTATTTATTAATTAGTTATGAGCCATATGAGCTAGTCTTTAACTAAATACTATATAAAAGAGAATATCATTTGACTTGTTCATCAATAAACAATAGTAATTAGTTATTGATAAAATATATATTGTTTAGATTAGAGTAATCAAACAAAGGCAGTCCATGATGTAGTTGCAGAGGTATATATATATATATATATATATATATGTGCAAGGTTTGACTTCTATATTGTTCCCTAATTAGGAATAAATATACAATATTTCTTCGTGAGCCTAACTTGTACCTGAATCATATGTGAAACCGTGTAATAAGACCACTCCACTAACAATAAACAATGGACTATAAGCCACATGTATTAGTACTAGAGTCCTCTATACCTCTGTATAAATACTCCCATCATCAACCTTCATTATCCACACAAAGCATTCTTTCATTAATTTCTCTCCTCATTTCAACTCTCTCTCTCTCAGATACACACAAAAAAATCAACCACAATGAAGTGCCTAAAGGTCTTCTTGATGTTTGTAGTGCTAATGGCTTTAGCTACAACTCTTTTAGCAACACCTACAGAAGAAGAGGTGCTTATTGATGCTACTGATGAAGAAGAAGATGCTCAAATCGAGACGTTTGATGTTCCTATGCCAGAAAGTGAAGAAGTACTACCAACATCTCTTCGAGGGACTGGCCGTTTTCTTGCCCAAACACGGCGTGTGACAATGACATGCAACAAGTACCCTAGAGTGTGTCGCGCCAAGGGCAGTCCGGGGCCAGATTGCTGCAAAAAGAAATGTGTAAATGTGAAAACAGACAGACTCAACTGCGGCATATGTGGGAAAAAATGCAAGTACTCGGAGATATGTTGCAAAGGACTGTGTGTGAACCCATTGTCCAACAAGAAGCATTGTGGGGGCTGCAACACTAAGTGCAAGAAAGGGAGTTCATGTGTTTATGGAATGTGCAGCTATGCGTAGAAATGATACATTTTTAGAATTGTTTTGTTAGAGCTATACATACCATTAATTTGTCAACGTCTGTAACCAGTAAAGGCAAACCATCAGCAATTTGATGGACTTTGCTTATGATTTTTTATTCCTTTTGTTAGTTTATGCAGTCATATGTCATAGTCAGTATCATTTATTCAAACGATATTTTTTTTTGGTTTAAAGGTGTCTCTAGCTCATTGATTTACAGATACTACATATATATTACAAAATACATTAGCACATTTATCCTGAAATAATTGTTAAATATACAGACACACTCCCCATTCATGCCCCAATGCTGACTGCTCTGTAGCATGGCACTTGAAGGATGGGGAGAGAGCTGTTTTAATTCACATGTGATAACAATGGCAAATTTTTGTTCCCAAATAATACTTCTGATCATATATATATATACATTATGTGATTTAATTAATTGTTTATTTTTTTTTAGCATCATGTAAAGATTTTTGTGTAGAAAATAAAATATAAAACAAACATATTTTTAAAGGATATAAAATCCAAAACTCTTTCTTTTCAAGATTGTGTTTCGTGTTTCTAAAAACCAGGGCTGGTAAAGGATATTCTTAGACTAACAGACGGCTGCGTGTTTTTTTTGGAATGTTGAAGCAAATATATAGATAAATTATAGGTTACAATTGGGCCCAATGAGGGCCCTTGGAAAGAGAGAACATCTACACTGCAAAAGAGAAACAACAAGCCCAATAAGCCCAACAAGAACTAAAGAAGCCCAAAGCAAGAAACAATAAAAAAATATCAGTTTTTAACAACAGTTGTCGTTAGTAATGGATATCCCAACGTATCTATGGTGGCAAAGCTGATATCGGCCACACTGCGGCATAGCACCACTGTATACTAGTCTGGAGGCATCGGCGGTGGACGGCTTGTGGCTGGAGCATATACCCATTCCATTGCTA